AACCCCTAGTTGGATTATCCTTGCTGTCTACTCTTTGGGGAGTTCTTTCTTATTGTTCTTTTTTAGATTTAACATTTTCTTTGACTGAGATGGTCATTTCTTCTATCTTGTCTTCATTACCTGACGGTCTCTCTTCCATGTTTTGTAATCTGTTCATGAGGCTTACCTCTGAGGTTTTTGTTTGATATGCTGGTTTTCATGTCCAGTTTTATTTTAGTTTGTGTCTTCTTTAGTGATTCTAGGTATACTTTCATGTCTTGAACTGTTTTTATTATTTCATTCAACTGTTTGTGTTTTCAGTCTTCATGAAGGGATTTATTCATATCCCCTTTAAGGTCCTTTTGAAGTCCTTGTCTTATGCTCTAACTATATTGCATTTCTCAGGACCTCCTGTAATAGGGTCATTGGGTTCTGGTGGGGGCAGACTAACTTGGCTGGTCATGCTTCTGTTTTTGCGCTGAGGCCTAGGCATCTGCATTATGATGACTAAGTGTCCCTAGGTGTTGATCTCTGGTCCTGTCTTTGTTGGGTTGGTGTCCTGTTCTTTGGATGCTGTTGCCTTCTCTGGATCCTAGGCAAGTGTGCTGGCTGTGGGGTCCCTGATTCCCGTTGGAGCCACTGGGGGTCCTTGGTAGGGAGTGTTTCTAGTTATTAGCAGCTGACACAAAAGAATGGTGATGCGTTAGAAGGACAGGCTGTGACCACTGCAGATCCCTGGTAGAAAGAAACTTCTAGTTTCTTATAGCCTCGTTATACCTGTTACCATCATTTTGGTTTTTGGTGCTGAGGATTGAGCAAGAGACCAGCCAGTGCTAGGCAAGTGCTCTACTGCTCTACTACTGACCCAGCCACCCCAAGTCCATGGCTGCTTTTCTAACTGCAGCTCTCTCTCTCTCTCTCTCTCTCTCTCTCTCTCTCTCTCTCTCTCTCTCTCTCTTCTCTCTCTCTCTTTCTCTCTCTCGTTTTGAGACAGGGTTTAGCCTTAGCTATCCTGGAACTAGCTTTGTAGACCAGACTGGCCTCTAACTCACAGAGATCCGCCTGGCTCTGCCTCCCCAGTGCTGGGATTAAAGGCGTGCGCCACCACCGCCCTGGCTAATTGCAGCTCTGCGGAGTGAAGCGCAGTTCATTGTGATTTTTCGCTTGCGTTCCTCTTGAATGGCTGGTAGTGTTGAGCGCACGGCCATTTCTGGCTAGGGAATTATCTGTTCAGGTCTGTTGTCCATTTTCAACTGGTGTGTGTGTGTGTGTGTGTGTGTGCGTGCCACAGCACACGTGTGAAGGTCAGAGGACACCCACGTGTTGATCCTTGCCTCCACCTTGTTTGAGATGGTCTTTTTACTGCTTTTCTCCTATGTTCACCGGGCTGGCTGGCCCTGAGCCGCTGGGAAGGCTCCTATCTGCTTACCACTTCCCCACAGGAGAGCGAGGATCACAGAGCCTTATGCTGTGTGTACAGCTTTTACGTGGTGTTTTGGTATTCAAAGTTAGTTAAGAAAATAATCAAACAGTTCCTCCTGTTTGTGAAGGAAGTGCCTTTATCCACTGAGCCATTTCACTAGTCCCTACTTAACTCTTTCTTGTTGAGCTTATAAGAGGGTTTTCATTTGCTTGTTTTGTTTTTGTTTGTTTGAGGGTTTTTTTTTTTCCTTTTTCTTCTTTTTTTTTGTGGTGGTGCTTTGGATGGAATCTAGGCTAAACAAGCGGTATGCCATTGGGTAATATCCCTAGACCCACCCTTATTTTTGTTTTATTTTTGTGATAGTTAGTTTTAATTGTCAGTTTGACACAGTCCAGACGACTCATCGAGGAAGAGACTCTCAAAGAGGGCTTGTCTAGATTGGGATGGCTTGTGTCGACTCTTGTCTTCCTTTTGCTAACTGAGGTGGGAAGATCCAGCTGTGGGTGGCGCCTTTCACGGGCAGAGGGTCCTGAAGTGTGTAAGAGTAGAGAAAGGGAGATGAGCACAAGAATGCATCTGCTCTCAGAGGTCAGAAGCGGGTGTCAGATCCCCTAGGACCGTAGTGACAGATAACTGCCATGTAGTTGCTGGGAACTGAACCCGGGTCCTCTGGAAGAGCAGCCTGTGTCCTTAACCATTGAGCTATCTCTCCTGTACTGCCTTCGTGTTTGAGTCAGGAGTTCTCATTGGGATCTGGAGCTTGCTGATTAGGGTAGAGTGGCTGAGCCCAAGGGATCCTCTTGTCTCTACGGCCCCATTATGCTCTGCCTTTTCATGTGGGTTCTGAGGGCCACCCTTGGGTCCTCATGCTCTGCCTTTTCAGGTGGGTTCTGAGGGCCACCCTTGGGTCCTCATGCTCTGCCTTTTCAGGTGGGTCTGAGGGCCACCCTTGGGTCCTCATGCTCTGCCTTTTCAGGTGGGTCTGAGGGCCACCCTTGGGTCCTCATGCTCTGCCTTTTCAGGTGGGTTCTGAGGGCCACACTTGGGTTCTCATGCTCTGCCTTTTCAGGTGGGTCTGAGGGCCACGCCTGGGTCCTCATGCTCTGCCTTTTCAGGTGGGTTCTGAGGGCCACCCTTGGGTCCTCATGCTCTGCCTTTTCAGGTGGGTTCTGAGGGCCACCCTTGGGTCCTCATGCTCCTGAAGTTTACTGGCTGAGCCTTCTCTCCAGTCCCTAGTTTTCACTCTCTTATTGAGACGATTAATTTTGAGTAAATGTATTTTGAGTAAACGTACAGGTAGGTGTGAGGTATGGGTCCACCATTATTGGCTTTCATGTGGCTGTCCTGTCATCCAAAAACTATTGGTTAAAGAGATTATTCCCTGTCCATTGGATTCTTTTGGCACACTTGTCAAAAAACATTTAACCACAGTATGAAGGGAGGTTTCCTGGACTCAGTACGGTTCCATGACCTCTGTTTATCTTACAGGATTGTACTGTCTCTGTTACCAGAGTTCTGCACAAATATTTAGAAATTGGGAAGAATAAATCCTCCAAGTTTTTGTTCAGATTTTTTGGGGGACTAGCCATTCTGAGTCCTCAGCTTTTGCAAAGTAGCCAGCTAGGACTCTTCTGATAAGAGACTGCATTGAAGGTCTAGGTAATTCGCAGAAAATTACCAACTTTAAAACAAATATTTTTATTTTTGAGATAGGATCTCACTGTGTATCCCTGGCTGACCTAGAACCCACTATTTAGACTAGGCTGGCCTCAAACTCACAGAGATCTACCTGCCTCTGTCTTCCAAGTGCTGGGATTAAAGACATGTACCACTACACCTAATCCATAAACAGGGGGTTATTTAGATATACTTTAGTTTCTTCAAACAATGTTTTATAGTTTTTATTTTTAGATTTATGTGTATGAGTGTTTTGCCTATATATGTATCTGCACCACATATGTGTCTGGTGCCTACAGAGCTCAGAAGAGGGTGTCAGATCCCCTGGAACTGGAGTAATGGATAGTTGTGAGCCACCATGTGGGTGTTATTAACCAATCCTGGGTCCCCTGTAAGAGCAGCAAGTGCATGTAACAGCTGAGCCCAGTTTTTTTTTTTAATTTATTTAACTTTATTTTATGTGCATTGGTGTGTGAAGGTGTCAGATCCCCTGGAACTGGAGTTACAGACAATTGTGAGCTGCCATGTGGGTGCTGGGAATTGAACCCAGGTCCTCTGGAAGAAACAGTCAGGGCTCTTAATCACTGAACCATCTCTCCAGCCCAGTTTTATAGGTTTTTTCAATTTGCATTTATTTTGCACGCCTGTTCATCTCTGCATGTGTGTGCATGCACACTGGCTGCAGCATACACGTGGAGATCAAAGGTCTGCTCGTGGAAGTCATTTCTGTCCTGCTGCTATGTGGCTCTTGAGGCTTAGACTATGGTCGGCAGGCTTGCTGGTATAGCCCGTTGCTGCTGAGCCAGCCTGCTGGGCTGTTTTAAGTTTCTAGAATATACATCGTACACACCTTTTGTTAACTCTAGTCTTAAACCCAGCGTGGGTGCACCCCTGTAGTCCCAGCTACTCCGGAAGTAGGAAGACTGCTTAAGCCCTGTCATTTAAAACCAGTCTGGCACCTCTCTCAAAGATGGAAAAATCCCATGTTTTATTCTTTAAATGCTGCATTAAGCGCGATTTTTTGGTTAATTTCATGTTTGGATTACTCATTGCTAGTGTGTAGAAATACAGTTGACTTTTGTGTTCCCACAGCCTTGACGAACTCACCTGTTTGTTGTGATATATTCTGATCACACTCTGACACTCCTGAGACTGCCAATAAAGTTTACCTTGAATCAGAAGGCGGAGCCAGCTACCAGCTGATCAGAATCGGCCACAGAGGTTTTGGAGGACCCAGGACATATAGGGAGACACAGGAAGAAGTAGGGAGGGGTTTAGAAAGATTCGAGGGGGCTTTTGGATTGAGGAAGGAGAGGAGATCACTGGTTGCTTCTCTGCTGCATCTCTGATCAGTCAGGTTACCCTGGTATCTGACTCCCGAGTTTTATTTAATAATAGAACAATATAAGTAGTTGCTTCATCTATTGTTATATTTGGTTTCTAGGATTTCTGTATATAAAGCCAGGCTAGCTGCACACAGAAACAATTTTACTTCCTCCTTTCAATCTAGATGTCTTAATTGTCCTAGCTCACACCTCGGGTGCAGAGCTGTGGAGAGGAGGGAGTGTGAGGACAGGAGGGAGTGAGGACAGGAGGGAGTGTGAGGACCGTGTTTCTCTTCTTGATCCTTCATTGTTACCTCTGATGTTAGCTGTCATGATTCAATTGTCATGGATAGATAGCCGTTACTAGAAATGCCAAAGACAGACAACTTGACCAGTCTGGTGAAGGATGTAAGGTGAGGCTCTTGCCTAACCTTCCTCTGTAAGCCCCAGGCCAGTGTGGGTTACATGAGACCCTGTCTTTAAAAAAATACATTAATTGGGCATGGTGGTGTACACTTTTCTTTTTTCTCTCTCTCTCTCTCTCTCTCTCTCTCTCTCTCTCTCTCTCTCTCTCTTTTTTTTTTTTTTTTTTTTTTGAGACAGGGTTTCTCTGTGTAGTTTTGGTGCCTGTCCTGGATCTCGCTCTATAGACCAGGCTGGCCTCGAACTCACAGAGATCCATCCGCCTGGCTCTGCCTGCTGAGTGCTGGGATTAAAGGCATGCGCCACTGCCATCTGGCTTGAGACCCTGTCTTAAAGAAAGGAAAAGAAACGGCCCTTCATCTATCTTGGCTGAACAGCCTCCCCTGCTCCAGGATTAAAGGGCTGCACAACCACACCTGGTTCTAAAATGTTTTTATTTTTATTACTTTTAATTGTGTGTCTGTGTGTGGGAAATGTGCACCCTATTGCAGATACCCACCGAGTCCAGACACCCCTGGAGCTGTGAAGTGGGTGCTGGAGATTGAACCTGGGTCCTCTGGAAGTGCTCTTAACTGCTGAGCTATCTCTCTAGGCCCCTAGGGCTCTCTGGTTTTTCCTGGCACCTCAGCCTAGCATCCCTTCCTTGTAGGGCTCACAGCAGAGTCCTTTGAGTTCATCAGAGTATCATCTAGGCTGCTGCTTCCTGATGCACCCTCAAAGCAGCCAGCCGGTCCTCCCCTCCTCCCTGTCCCGCCACGCCCCTTCCTTCCTAGCACCCAGAGCTAGTCACAGTGGTCTTGTCAAGCTGTGGTATCATGCTGTCCTTCAGGGCCACAGTCACAGTCAGTTAATCTGGTGGGTTTCCTAATGTGGCCAAGGACAGAGACCAGACTTGGGTTAGGAGAGAGAAAAAGTGAGACCTGAGTGTGGTGTCACGAGCAGGCATGGGTTCCACCTGCAAGCCCTGAGCTCTACAGAAGTTCTCCTAACTCTGCCTATTAGGATTCTTGGGTCTGCTTTGGTCTACAGAGTCTTCTGTGGGGGTTGGGACCAGGATGGAGGCTTCCCTGCATACAAGGCCTTGGCTCCCACCACCCATCTGTTCTTGTTTACAGATGGGGGAGGTAGGACAAGATGTTGGGACTGTGTTCTCCAAGCTCAAATGCAGATGTTCTGGACTCTGTGCTGCTCATTCTGAGTGTCAGCTTATCCCTGGGTGCTTGCCCCGAGAAGGACTGAACATACCCTATAACTGACCCCTCTAACTTGGTGCAGTTCTGTCCCTAGGAGGTATGGGCTTGCAAGTGCCACGAATTCTATTTTCTTTTCCGAGGTGGTCTCAGCTTGGAGGGGTAAGCCTAGCTTGGAGAATAGCTCAGACTCAACAAGGGGCCCCCGAGAGTCCTTTTCCTTTGTTCTGGAAACCAAACCAAGAGGGGTTCTCAGCCCATGCTGCTGTCTGGTACTGCCCTCCACGAGGCTGGACTTCCCTAAAGCATGGCTTGTACCTGCTCTGCTTCTTTCTGCCATGACTTTTCCTGCTCCTCTGTCTACCAAAGGGCCCTCCTAGCTTGGCTGCCTACGGAAGGCGGAAGAGAACCCCGCCAGGGAGGTAGGTGATCAGGAGCCTGAGGAAGGCCTCCAGCCTAAGAAATTCTCTACTAAGTTGAACACGGCAAAGCCATAAGGGTGGGGTATGTGTGTGTGTGGGTTCTCCTGGCAACAAGTGTGTGCCTGCGACACACTAATGTAGGCAATGCATGTGTGCTGAGACAGGAACCTGGGCAGAGAACAGTCGTCTGCTGTAGACACACACATTAATGTATGCACTGACCTCTTCAGATGGACGACCAATACACACACTCCTAGGCTGATTTTGACATTAGATTAGGTTCCTTTCTGAGACAGGCTTGAGCTTGTCTTATTGTGTTAAGAGGCTGAGGCAGGAGGATTGCAGCTTGGGCCACATAGCTGCTAAACCCTATCTTAAAGATCAGAAGTGGGCGTGGAAGAGTTTTGTTTCTGCCTGCACAGGAAAGGGCTGGTGGAGACACCGAAAGCCCCTGATGTCAAAGAATATTTCCATAGAGAACACCCCAGGCTTGACTTCTACCCCACCCAGCTTGGCCCCAGGTTCCAGCTAGTTATGGACTTGTCATCTGAGCCCAGGCAGAGCCGATGGTTTTGTAGGCTATTTTTAAGTCCAGCTCCTTGGACTACACCCCACCCCCAGTTCTACTACTGGTCACCTGCCCCTGCCTGCACCTCCTGGAATGCTGATTGGCAGTTAGGGCTGGGGTGGGGGCTGGGAAAACTGTTATAAAGCTGAAGGGGCTAAGCAAGCTGCTGTCACCTGGAACGCCTCTGTCTCCTGCCATCATGAACACCCACCGTGTAGTAATGGTTCGCCATGGTGAGAGCTTATGGAACCAAGAGAACCGTTTCTGTGGCTGGTTTGATGCAGAACTAAGTGAGAAGGGGGCTGAGGAGGCCAAGCAGGGGGCCAATGCCATCAAAGATGCCAAAATGGAGTTTGACATCTGCTACACATCGGTGCTCAAGCGGGCTATCCGTACCCTTTGGACCATCCTGGATGTTACGGACCAAATGTGGCTGCCTGTGGTGCGTACCTGGCACCTCAATGAGCGGCATTATGGGGGCCTCACAGGCCTCAATAAGGCGGAGACAGCTGCAAAGCACGGGGAGGAGCAGGTGAAGATCTGGAGGCGTTCCTTTGACACCCCGCCACCCCCCATGGACGAGAAACACCCCTACCACAATACCATCAGCAAGGTGGGCCAGGAGCTGGGAGGCTGTGAGGCTGGGAGCCTGGGTGGGAGGGCTACCCAGTGAGTCAAGGCAAGTGTCCCTGTGCCTCTCCCCAGGACCGGCGTTATGCGGATTTGAAGCCTGGGGAGCTGCCTACCTGTGAGAGCCTCAAGGACACCATTGCCCGGGCCCTGCCCTTCTGGAACGAGGAGATAGTGCCCAAGATTAAGGCTGGCAAAAGAGTGCTTATTGCCGCTCATGGAAACAGCCTTCGAGGCATTGTGAAGCATCTAGAAGGTGAGGATCACCCTTAGCAAAGATGTGAGACAGAAAAGAGTGAGGGTGAGCACCCCGCCCTGTTCAGATACTTTACACATGTGAGGGTTGCAGGAATAGACTGAGGTTAAAAGTGGAGAGGGAGTTTTGCTGATCCACTTCCAGCATATACTGGGCTATGACGGAGATGGTGAGTTTAGTCTGCACAGCTGAGCCACCCCACAGGAGCCGACTCCAGAGCAGGCTTGAGGCACCCACAGGGAAAGAGGGCCGGAGCTTGGTGCATTCAGCCCCAACCCTTGACAGGCCACTTGAGTTGCTACAGAACTCTTGGCACAGTGCTGCCGGCTTTTCTTTTAAAGATAGTCTCACTGTGTACACGGGCCTTGAATTGGAGGTCCTTTGGCCTCAGGGGGAGGCTACAACAAAGAGCCCACCCACCTGCACACAGCTGAACCACTGTCTCCCTCCCTACAGCTTCTTTAGGCAAAAAGCAGTCTCAGTGCAGAGCTATGGAACTACTTAACGATCTTAGGCTTGTAGGGGGGGCTCCTACTCAAGAGCAAGGGGTGACAGACGGGTTTGGGGAGCCATATGGGCATAGGGAGGTCAATAATTATGGTCCCAACTGGGTCTTAGACATCAGAAGTCTATATTAGACTCTGGATGACCTTTAGGCTTGCTGGGATCCTAAGAAAGGAGCTGGGTGTGGTCCATTTCTCCAGCTCCTGGGGAAAGAGGTACATGCGGAGTGCTCTGGATGCTCCAGGAAACACTCCCAGGTCCTCCTGCTTGGCTGGGTTGGGTTGATAGCAACAGCAAAGGTTGAATTGCTATTCCAGGCAGGGGCTGCAGGAGCAGACAGGGTCAGGTTTCCTGTTCCTCCCCTGCTCAAAATTTAGAACCTCTAAAATGACACTCTTCCCAACCCTCTTTAGTCTGGCCAGTTTACCCTGGGCTGAGAGCATGCGTAGTAGCACTCAGGTCACAGCTATTCAGGGGGATGTTGTCTTGCTGCCACGCTATTTCTGTATGCAGATCTGCCTTGACCTTTAGGCACACACACTTCTGTGGCCTTGCTCTCAGGGATGGGATAACTGGCAGCACCCCAGCACCAAAGGTCATACTGTATGAATTGAGTGGAAGTGGCTAAGAACACTGTTCCTTTGCTCCAGGGATGTCAGATCAGGCTATCATGGAACTGAACCTGCCCACGGGAATCCCCATCGTGTATGAGCTGGACCAGGCGTTGAAGCCTACCAAGCCCATGAGGTTCCTGGGAGACGAAGAGACAGTTCGCAAGGCCATGGAAGCTGTTGCCGCCCAGGGCAAGGCAAAGTGAGGGTGGACGTGGGCAATAAAGTTACTTCTGCAGTGCCAAGCTTAGCACGGCCAGGCCTGGTCTGCACAGCTCGACTCTTAAGTCACGAGGACTCCCAGGTCCAGGGTTGCAGCTACACCTAAGCCAACATCAGTGCAGGCAGAAGTCCAGGATCCATCTCTGGCTATTTGGGGCTAAATCAGGACTCTGCATACCCTCTGTAGTGTGACCAATCCCCTGTAGTGACCCTGCGGCTCCAGAATCACTTGGTTGTATTAGGGAGAAAAGCAATGTGATCTGGTCTTCTCCATGAGAAACAGGAAGTGTGACTCTTCACCAGCTTCCTTCAGGGTGGCTTTCTGCTATCCCTGTGACCTCGTAAATGGCATGCTAAGTGTACCTCCCAGCCAGGACAAGCCTACTAGACTAGGCCTCCAGACCAAACTCATGGGCCTCCATGGCCTACTGTGGTCACCACAAAGCCTAAGGATAGGCAGGAGATGGGGAGGAAGTAGGTTGGACCACAGCCTGGTGCTTCCCCTGGGCACCTTCACGCCAGGCTGCTAGTGGCTAAGTCTGGGAGTCAAGTACGTCCACCCAGCATCTCCAGGCAGATGAGTGCTGGACCAACTGTGCAGCAGTGGCCTCTTCTAGAACTGAAATGCAGGAAGGCTCCGACATCAGTTACATCTTATTTATATACCCCGCCCCTCTTTTTGAGACTGAGACTCTATGTAGCTCTGGCTGTCCAGGAACTATAAAGACTAGGCTGGCTTTGAACTCACAGAGATGCACCTGCCTCTGCCTCATATACCACCATGCCTGGCTCATTACAGGAGGCTAAACAGCCAGAGTCTGTCTGAGGGTACATAATGTGTAAACACACATCTGCACGCTCAGGTACAATGCAGAGACACCCCAGGTTGGGGTTTCTTCCCATTTTGATCAGAAGTGGGGCGGACGAGCTGTGGTCCTCACTGCATTCTTAGTTATCAACACAGATGGGCGGAGCCAGCAGACATTGAGTGAGCCACACAATACATGTCATGTCTTTGAGTTTTCACATTCCCCAAGATGGGAGCTTGGTCATCCCATCCCTTCTTCCCACAGCACAGACATGGGGACAGAAGTGGAAGGAGGGAGGGAAGCCCCTAGTAAGAAAACTTCCCTGCTGTCAAAACCATCATGGTCTACTCTGACTTTGGTCAAGATTTCGCTATAAGCAATTTTCTTAAGTTCCTGATTCCTAAGGGCCTTTCTAAACAGCTGCAGCTGCCACCCCTCAGAAGCCACACAGAGAAAGAAAGGCAAATGCAGATGTGGCCCCCGATGTCCCTGCTCTGACCCTCACTTCTCAGTGCTGCTCTCCTTGGACAGAGGTCACCCAGGAGCTGGCCACAGGTTAAGCTTGGCTCAATACGCCATCCCCACTGGGGTCAAGTGTGAGTCTGGTAGGAGGTCCTGGAGGCTGTGGTAAGCATTTGGGGGAGCAGTGGGATTCTGCTCCATCTGGGGTAACAGAGCACTCAAGGCAGAGGGAGCCCTGTCCTCACTGAAGTTCATTCCTAGAAGAGTGCCAAACAGTGACTCTTAGGCCTCTTCTTTTCACAACAAGGAAGCCACTTCCAGTAGAGAAGGAAGACAGGCCTCAGCCTCACTCTATGAGCTCCACGTAGTTGGCAGGAAACATGCCAAAGTGGCCATCAGGCCCATAGCCACGCCACCAGCCTTCATCAATCACCTCGATGCCCGTGATTAGGTTCTCAGGGTCAAAGGAGATCTCTGTGTCATCAGCTGCAGGAAAGGAAGCAGAGGGATGGCATCTCAGTGCCTTGCCACACCCCTCACCCGTCCCCAGGGAGCCCAGCCTTTCCTGCTCCCTCCTCAGAAACAGCCCACTGCCATCCAGCCTGAGGGCACCAATGTGACTGTAACTGCACAGCTTCCTACAGAGCACTCCTGTAAAGGAAGCTCCACAACCCCCAGGCCTCCCACCCCCTGAAGGCCGGGAGTCAACATCCAGGCCTCACTTGTCTGATCAGACCTGGAAGGTCTACAGTAAGGACAGCCATAGGGATTCCTGCCAGTGGATGGTGGGCAGTAACTGGAGGCACATGCTGTTTAGGACAGACGTACCAAAGCCATGGGCATTCCCACTCCAGGGGCCTGCCATCTCATCTCTTCTTTCAGACACCCTCGGGCTAACCCCCATAAAGCCCCTATACACATTCTTGATTCGTGATCTGTGATGGTCAGCTGGGGGAATCTTACCTGCCTGGTAGTCGTACAAGGCCCGGGCGCATAGCCCTTGCCCACTGATGCCCTGGCCCTGCATGTAGTTGTCAACGTGTACAGAGCCAGCCTCCTGCTGCTGCGCCTGTCAGAAGTGAGAAAGATGGCATTACCCCAGACTCAGCCTTTACCCGAGCTCAGATGAAGCTGGGAGTGTGTGTGTGTGTGGGGGGGGGGGGGGGGGGGGGGGGGCGGCGGGGGGGGGGACACGAGGGCACAAAATGCAGGAGGGGGGGCTCTTTGGGGCCAGGGGCGATTGCTGCCTGGTACACTTGCAGCACGCATGGCTCTCTTCTCAAAGGGAGCACACAAATCCCTCCAGCCGCGGACTGCAAGGAGCTCTCGGCATCTAGCATCAACTACACAGGAGCACTGGCCCACCCTAAAGCACAGCGTGGTTCCAAGGCAAATGAGTCCACGAGCTGGTAGGTTGCTTGTCTACCATGCTCAAGGCCTTGGATTCTACCATCCATACCACAAAATCAATCTATGCTGTGCATGGGGCAATGCCCATACTCAGGAAGGCTGTGTCAAGAGGATCCCCAGTTGAAGGCTACACAGTGAGATCCTGTCTTAAAAAAAAAAACAAAAAACAAAGCAGTAAAGGGGCTGGAGAGATGGTTCAGTAGTTAAGAGCACTTGCTGCTCTTGCAGAGGACAGCAGCTCACAGCTGTAACTCTAGGTGTACCTTCCGGCCTCCACAGGCACACGTATGTATGCAGGCCCAACACTCAAACAGAAACAGAAAAAACAAGCACTCCTAGTGCCCTAAAAGGTGCCACAGGAAACTCAGGCCTGTCCCACGCTCCACCAGGAACCCACCAGTGGAGACCCCTCATAGAGGCTGTCCTGCTCCGGAGGTTCTTCGTACGTGGCCTCTTCTTCTGTCTGGACCGAAGACAGAGGGCTAGGAGCTGGCTCCTCACAGACACCTGCAGCAAAGGACACAGCAGGACGTGACCACCTTCCTACAACAGTCCCCTTCTCAACCAGCATCCCCTCCAGGGCTGGACAAGGTTACAAAGGTCTTGCCTGCTCCGGGCCTTGAGACAGTGGGCGTTGGCTCTCTGCCATAGGAGGCTTCCGGGTGAGTGAGCTGCTTCTGCAGGAAGGGACTCTTCAGCTTGCCTGAACAACCCAGAAAGTACCACGTGCATTACTTCGGATCTAACACCTGCAGTCTACAGCCCCGAAGTAGGGCCGTGGATAGCGCAGGTGAAGACCCCAGGGTTCTGGGCTGTGTGGTAAAGCTGTGGGCAGTAGAGCCCTGTTGTCCTTTAGGGGTCACTAATGCAGGACAAAAGGGTCACCCTTTAAAACATGCCTTGGAGGCCCCTGCATGGGACTCTAGGCTTCCCCTCAGTCCACCCTGTTCTGTGGCCAGGCCCAGAGGTCTCACCTGGCTGAGAGCTAGAGACAGAGGTGGTGGACATAGCCCTTTCCTTCTGCTTGAAAATCTCTCGTGGGTGTGGGGCCTGCTGCCCAGCAGACTCCTGGGAGAAACACAGAAGCATGCTTTGACCCCAGTGGTGAATGAGAACCCCAAGGCTTCTCACCTGACTGCCCCCACCTCAGAAAGCAGGCCTTCAACGCTGTGTTAAGTGTGTGTAGGGTGGGTTAGAATGGGGAATAGGAAGCCAAGGAGCTGACAGGGCCTCTCCTAAGATGGGAGGCTTCAAGCCATGCCAAAAGCTTCTGTCCTGGCTCCCCCCACACTGGTTCTCTGATGTGCACAGATACGCCTCAGGTTGACTGTAGAGGTCTGAGCTAAGCCTCAATCTGAGAACAAAGATTTCCCAAGCGGCCAATCAGAGCCAAACCAGCAAGTTCCCAGGTGTGAAGAGACTCCCCAAACTCACCCATTCCTGTCTGCTCCTTGAAACCACCTCCTGCTCCTGCTCATATGTCCTGCTGGAAGGGCCGAGATGAGGAGAGCTGAGGCTTGTCAGCAGCTCCTCGTGCTGTTCCCTCAGCGTTCCTGCTTCTCAGAACAAGTGAGCACTGGGGACAGCTCTAACCCCTTGCCTCAGTGCATGATGGGCTAACCTTGGGGGTCCAGATGATCTCTGCTGTTCCTGGTAGCGCTGCTCACGGCGGGCGGCCTCCTGCAGCTCCCGCTCCCGCCGCTCCTCCTCCAGCCGCTGCCGCTCCTCTTCAGCCCGCCGCTTCTCCTCGAGACGGCGGTTCTCCTCTTCCTTCTGCAGAGGGAGCTGGGCACTCAGCCATGTGCAGCCCCCTCGGCCTCAAACCCTGCCAGGGACTGGGACACTATAGCCCATCATGCACCGTGACTTAACTCACACATGCCTTCAGTTTAACTAGCCGCAGAGGATACTGCCCAGAAGAGCGCCCGCCAGTGTGCCTGTCCCCACTACTCCAGCACTCACCTCAGCTTTGGCCCAGAAGCTATCTTTGCCAACCCTCTTGATCTCAGATATGGCGTTGGTCTTCTGGTACACAGAGCCCTAGAGAGGACACAGTACATGAGAGGGCTGGCCCCATGTGGACCGTCAGGGACGCGGTGGGGCAGGTAAAGGGAATTTGCCTGCTCTAAAGAGCAGGTGAAACCTCCTAGGACTGCACCTGGTGGGCTCAGGGGAGCCTGGCCTACCACCCACAAGGAGACAAACCAAGATGTTCAGAAAAACGTCTAGGGGCTGGGTGTGGCAGTACACACCTGCAGTCCCAGCACCCGGGAGGCTGAGGCAGAAGGATCTTGAGTTCAAGGCCAGCCTGGCCTACAGAGCAAGGCCCTGTCTCAAAAACAGAACAAGGGTTGGAAAGAGGGCTCAGCTGCTAAGAGCACTTACTACTCTTCCAGAGGACCAGGTTCCCAGCACTCCCATGGAGGAGCAGTCTGTAACTCAAGACACCTGAGGATCTGGTACCCTTTTCTGGCCTATGCAGGCACAGTACACATGTAGTGCACAGACATACATACAGGCAAAACCCCCATACACATTATACATAAAGATAAAATACATCTTTAAAACAAAAGAACAACAAAAGCCCACGGAGACCATCCAGCAAGGACATGGTATCCTGAGAACACAGGGTATGTATCCACGTACATGTGTGTTTATAGAGGCAACTGGTCCTCACCGACGGGGACAGGAAAGGATTTTTATCCCAGACTCCTGGCAGTTCTAAAGTAGGTTGCTCCTCAGACGGCTGACTGCTAACAGCATCCAGAAGAATCACCATGGGTCCCAATTGTATGACTAGGAAGTGGTTTGCAGCCATGAGCTCTACATGATGCCAGAGTCACAGGCCTGTGTGGTTTCAGGCTCTGCACTAAAGCCACCAGAAGCTCTCCACAACGGCTACTACCAGGACCATCTAAGCCACGCTGACACCGCACCTCTGGGGTTATTAGACGATCACAGCTGTAGAATCATAGCTGCTGAAGAGCCTCTGCCACAAGCTGGCTCTCGAACAGCCAAGCTAGTGGCGTTGGTGCCCATCAGGGCTTAGGATTACCATCTAAAGATGCCAGGCAGAAGGAAGCAGTTACCCAGACACTAGAAGCTACATTTCTGGTCCCCTGCTCTCGGGCTTGGAGAAAGGTCCATGTCAGGGTAGCACTCACCACTGGGGCCTGAG